AACTATATTCCTTTAATTAACAAATATTCACATAAATATTATACACCAATACAAATCTTTTCTGTAAATTAATATAGATACTAGCATGTAGAATTATCTTCAATATAATGAACTACTGTATAGACTTATATAATATTACGAGATATTTTATTACATTTACATAATATCAATAACAAAAATAGATAATGTACTCATCACATATAATTGCCAACTTACAATTATTTTAGAGATAAGATTACTTAGAAGCCAATCTAACTTTGCCTGATTTAGCCCATTCCTGCAAATACGAAATATTAGTATTATCAGTAAACGCTAAAGGTATAAATTCATGTATTACATCAATTATATCTTCTGTACAAAAATCTCTTTTTTCATAAAATGCATTATGCATAGCTTCTATTATTGACTGCCTAATTTCTGCTCCTGAAAAACTCTGTGTTAATTCACTTAGAGATTGGATATCATAATTACTCCAAGTTAGTGGCCTAATTTTAATTAAATGTATTTGAAATATATTACATCTCTCTTTATAATTTGGCAGATCTAGAAAAAAAATTTCGTCAAATCTACCTTTTCTCAACATTTCAGTAGGAAGATGTAATATATGATTAGCTGTTGCTACAATAAAGACTTGCTTTGTTTTTTCCGATAGCCATGTTAAAAAAGAGCTCAACACTCGATTAGTTGTACCACTATCAGTACTATAATTAGTACGACTAAAAGCTTTGTCTATTTCATCAATCCATAACACACAAGGTGCTAAATTTTCTGCTATTTTAATAACCTTTCTCATTCTATTTTCTGATTCACCAACTATTCCACCAAATATTTTTCCAACATCTAACTTTAGTAATGGTATATTCCACTGATTTGATATAGCTTTTGCACTTAAAGACTTACCCGTACCTTGAATACCTACTAATAAAATACCTTTTGGTGCTGGCAAGCCATAGGTTTGTGCTTGTTTTGAAAAAGCATTTGATCTTTTTTTTAACCATTGTTTTAAATAAAATAAACCACCTATATCATCTAAAGAATTACTAACTGGATAAAAATCTAAGAGATCAGTCTGACGTATCAATTGCTGCTTTTCTTTTGAGACTATTTCCATTATTTTTTTATTAGATTTACTAGCAAAAATAAGTTTAGTAATTGATCTACGAATGAGTTCTATGGACATCCCTTTATATGCTATAGCCAAATCTTCAATTTTTACATAAGGAACTGTTTTCATTACACTAAATATACGTTCTAATTCAATAGCTATTTCTTCTTCGTTAGGTAATGGAAATTCTACAACCGTTATAATATCTCTTAATAGCTGTGGTACCTGAATTTCTGAAGAAGTAATTAAGATATGTATCTTAGAATTTTTTAATTTTCTAAACAAGTTTTTAATTTTTCGTATAATACTAGTATCATTTATAAATACATGAAAATCTTTAAATATAAAAATAGAAGGTATAGAAGTATCTAGGCTTTCAACTAAATGAAGAGCCTGCAATGGATTTCTTCTTGATTTTTCTGCATAATTAGGATTATTTTGGAAACCATCAATAAAATCCCAATAGTATACATTACTTGGATATTCATTTTTAGCTATTTTATTAACTGTGTTTTCTAATCTTTCTTCTTCATTAGTAAAAATATAGATTAAAAAATGGCGTGATGACAATAAAAGTTTTAATTTATCCTCAAAATACATAAATATTTATAATACTTAAATTTTTTTTATCTATCAAATTTAGCGACATCTGAATAGCCATATTATTTGTGAAATAAACTCAAATCTATATTTTTACAGTCCAATCCTTTTTCTTTTCTTTCTACGTCTTGCTTTTATAATTCTTCTTCCACTTACAGTTTTCATACGAGCGCGGAACCCCGCTTTACGTATTTTTTTACGATTAGTACCTTTAGTCATTATACAATATGTAATAAAATAATATTTTAGTAAAAACTTATAATTAGAATATATATGTTATAATTATATAATCTATCTCTTATAATAACATAGTGCTAACAATATATTTAATCTGTTTAATAACTTTTTTATTACCTATTTGTTTATTAATAACAAGTGCAATATACAAATTATATAAACAATTGTATATAAGTATTACAATATTAAATAAGGATAGTAATAATCAAATAAATCCTTATAATACTCTAATCTTATCTCAAATTTATATAAAACAACATCAATGGATCTCTTCTATATTAATTTTAGAATCTGGTATAAATCAAGAAAATACAAGAATTGAACAATTATATAACAATATAGGCTTTTGCTATACTCAAATAAAAGCTTATAATTTGTCAAAGTATTACTATAAAAAAGCTATTCAACAAGAACCTAAAGATAAATCAGCATTATATAATCTAGGTCAAATATATCAAATATTAAATGATTACAAAAATGCCGATGAGATATATAAAGAAATTATGCAATTAGAGAAAAATCGTACGAATCAAAAAATTAGTAAGTACTCTAAAGAATAAGAATTATCGGGATAGCAGGATTTGAACCTGCGACATCCTGCTCCCAAAGCAGGCGCGCTACCAAGCTGCGCTATATCCCGCAAACATATAAATATATAATACTCAATAAACTATTTATTGTCTAGTCATCATAAAAATCAACGTGGATACCAAAACATACCTTTTATACCATCAGGATCTGTAATAAAACCTATTCTACGATAAAAACTCACAACATGAGGATCTGCAAATAAAGTAATGGTGCTAATATCTGAATATCTTAACTGTATTACAATTTGATCCATTAAAGCTTTACCTAAACCTTTACCTTGAAAATTAGGATGAATTACAACATCCCAGATAGTAGCATTAAAAACTGTATCTGAAGTTGCTCTTGCAAAACCTATTAATTTTTTACTCTTATTGTTTTTATAAAATACACAGATTGTAACAAAACTATGATCTATAGCTAACTTCACTTTTTTTAAAGGTCTACGTACCCATCCTACCGAGTCACATAATTGCTCTAACTCATATAAATTAATATTTTTACCTGTACTAATATATATATCATTATGATTACCTTGATTTTCTAAATGCTTAATTAGTATGAGATCTTCTGCTAAATATTCTTTTTTTATATTAATAGAATTCTTATCTTGATTAAACATATTTATATTTTTAAAAAATTTTTTCCAAAAAGCCATATTATTATAAATTTCATTAAGACATACTAATAGTATTACAATTGTTAAAACATAGGTCCATCTTTCTGGATTATTTTTTATACTTTCAATAAATGTTACTATATATACAAAAAACAATATCTTTATATTATTGTCTATTAATATAAATAAATTTTTATTTATTAGTCTTTACGTAACTTTTTGTTATATTATAAATTATTGCTTTTGTTGAATTAAACAGAATAAATATATGAATAGAAAAAAAATATTGGCATTATTATGTACACTACTACTCTGTGTATCTATTAACACTCAACAATCTTTAGCAGATATTGCAGGACTAACTCCATGCAAAGACTCAACTGCCTTTTCAAAAAGATTAAAAAATAGCGTGAATAAGTTAGAAAACCGTCTTGCAAAATATGATGCATCAACACCACCAGCATTAGCTCTTAAAGAACAAATCAATAAAACAAAGATAAGATTCAATAAATATAGTAAATCTGGCGTATTATGCGGGACAGATGGTCTGCCACACTTAATTACTGATGGAAGATGGAATCATGCTGGAGAATTTGTCTTTCCAGGCCTATTATTTATATATATTACAGGTTGGATTGGATGGGTTGGTAGAGGATATTTACAAGCTATCTCTAAAACAAAAAAACCTACAGAAAAAGAAATTATCGTTGATGTTCCATTAGCTCTTAAATTTTCAGTATCAGGCTTCACTTGGCCATTAGCTGCTATACAAGAATTTACTAGTGGTCAATTATTAGCGAATAATGAAGATATTACTATATCTCCACGTTAAATATAATATAAAAGGAACCTATTTAATGAACAACAATTTACTTACATATTTATCAACTATTCCTGTAGTAGGAGCTATTTGGATCACATTTACTGCTGGTTTTATTATCGAAATTAATCGCTTTTTTCCGGATATTCTTTTCTTTTCATTTTAAATTTAAGATCAAGCTGTATTCATAAATTATAAACAATTATCAAATTTATCTAGACAAGCTATATATTCTGTAAGTTTGTTTTTTTGTTAATTTTGTTTTTTTTTGCTAACATAAAACCTATATAAGAAATAAATATTATATAGAAAATTATGAGTTTAATTAGTCAAATTATTATTGAAGCAGATAATGAATTAAGGTATCCAAGTATTGGAGAATTAGAATCTATACAAAACTATTTAAACACCGGTGAAAAAAGAATCAAGATTAGCTGTATACTAAGAGACAAGGAAAAAGAAATTATACAAAAAGCAAGTAAAACCATCTTTCAAATTCATCCCGAATATATTGCGCCTGGTGGTAATGCTGAAGGAGCAACCAAAAGATCTTTATGTTTACGAGATTATGGATGGTACCTAAGATTAATTACTTATGGTATTTTAGCTGGTGACAAAACATCTATTGAAAAAATAGGAGTCGTTGGTGTTAGAGAGATGTATAATTCTTTAGGAGTACCTATTTTGGGTATGATAGATGCTATAAAGTGTCTTAAAGAAGCAACATTAGAGATACTTGTTAAAAATGAAAGTAATCGACAAATGGTATCTCCTTATTTTGATTTTTTAATACAAGGAATGTCACAGTAAATATCAAAAATACAAAACAATACAATAGTTGCTTCAGGATAAATCTAATGATATAATAGTCTTACACTCAGAAAATTACATGTGTAATAGCTGAAATTTGTCAGGACTGGAAAGTAGCAGCAATTAAGCTAAATTACAAAAGTGTATTTTCTGGGTTTTTCTAGTTTATATTTCATATAAACTAAATTCAAAAGCATATTGAGATCAATATAATATATAAAACATAATTAAATCAATTTAACAGATAAAATATATTGTTTATTCATTTGCTATACAAAAAATAAAAAATACTAGCTGTTTATTTTTAATATTTAATGAATAATATTAATTTTTATAATTGAACTAAATTTTGAAAGTGATATGATATCATCAATTCTACAAGGAGCTCGTATTCTTGCTACAGGCTCTGCTATTCCAGATGTATGTATAAATAACGAACATTTAAGTAAAATAGTCGAAACATCAAATGAATGGATCGTTACTCGAACAGGCATAGAAGAAAGAAGAATTTTAACTGGTCAGAATGAATCCATTATAGATCTTGCATCATTAGCATCAAAAAGAGCATTAGAAAAAATTTCTATGAATCCACTTGAAATTGACTTAATTATATTAGCAACTTCAAGCCCTGACGATCTTTTTGGAAGTGCTGGACAACTTCAAGCAAAAATTGGAGCAAGCAAGGCAGTAGCATTTGATCTTACTGCTGCATGTTCAGGTTTTGTGTTAGGAATTGTTACTGCCACTCAATTTATACAAAATAAAAGCTATAAGAATATATTAGTAGTAGGAGCTGATGCTTTGTCTAAGTGGACAGATTGGTCTGATCGTAGCACATGCATATTATTTGGTGATGCTGCTGGTGCAGCTATAATACAAGCTTGTTCAGAAGAAGAAAATGGTGTATTAGGCTTTCAATTAAATACTAATGGAAATAAATCAAATCAATTATCGATACCATATCAAACACATAGTTACCATCTAGATAATCATAAATCTTTAAATCTGTTTCAAGGTAGATTTCAATATATTACGATGAATGGGCAAGAAGTGTATAAATTTGCTGTCTCTAAAGTGCCTACAAGTATAGCACAATGTTTAAATTCATTAAATATATCTAAAGATGAGATAAACTGGCTTTTATTGCATCAAGCGAATAAAAGGATATTATATGCTGTTGCTGATAGACTAGGTATTGATTATAGCAAATTGATTTACAATCTTGATAAATATGGTAATACATCAGCAGCCTCTATACCACTCGCATTAGATGAAGCATTAGCTAAAAAACAAATAAAGTATAATGATATTATAGTAATTGCTGGTTTTGGTGCAGGCTTAACATGGGGTACAACAGTTATTAAATGGAAATGTTAGTAAGAATAAAAAATACTTATAATAATATATATATTATTATAAGTATATTATGAGACAATAAAAAATAAAATTATATACTATATTTATATTGACTTTTCAATTTTTTATATTATATCTATTTTTTAACATTAATATACAGGGACAATAAAGTATGACTTCATCTTTATCTAGCTTTTTAAACAGTTTAATTTTAGGTGCACTAATAGTTGTCGTACCCATTACTCTAGCATTATTACTCGTAAGTCAAAAAGATAAAACATTAAGAAACTAATAATAATGTTATCAAGGAGAACAGAATAATTAAGATTAATGTATCAATATTACTCTGTTACTTCCTTAATTTTTTGTATCTAATATCAAAAATAAAGTAATTTAACATATATCTCAAACAATATGTCTTTATCTGAATGGTTAATTACTAAACGCAGTAAATCTATAAAAAAGAATATCAAACAAATACAGTTAACAGTACCTGAAGGATTATGGATAAAATGTGATCAATGTGGCCTGCTCATGTATTTTAAAACTTTAAATAAGAATCATAAAGTTTGTCCTCAGTGCAAACATCATTTTCAAACTTCTAGCTATGATCGAATTGAACAAATCCTTGATCAAACTAGCTGGAAATCTATCAACAGTAATCTTGCATCTACAGATCCTTTAGGCTTTTGTGACCAAAAACTTTACGGTAAGAGATTGCAAGATATGAAAATGAAAACAGGTTTACTAGATGCTGTACAAACAGGGACCGGTACGATTAAAGGAATTTCTGTAGCCTTTGGTATAATGGATTTCCGTTTTATGGGTGGTAGCATGGGTTCAGTTGTAGGAGAAAAATTAACAAGACTTATAGAAACAGCAACTCGTTTAAATATACCTGTTATAATTTTATGTGCTTCTGGAGGAGCAAGAATGCAAGAAGGTATGCTCAGTCTAATGCAAATGGCAAAAATATCATCAGCTCTGCATAAGCATCAACAACAAGGACTTGTTTATTTACCTATTCTAACTTCTCCAACAACTGGTGGAGTAACTGCAAGTTTTGCTATGTTGGGTGATTTAATTATTGCTGAACCAAATGCACTTATTGCATTTGCAGGTAGAAGAGTTATAGAACAAACAATAAGAGAAGATTTACCTGACAATTTTCAAACTTCAGAGTATTTATTTCAACATGGTTTTATAGATTTAATTATTCCAAGAACAAAATTAAGAGATATGCTATACCAAATTTTATCTTTTTACTATAATCCCAAAAATTAGTTAATATTTATAAATTAAGTGAGATTAATTAAAAAATATATAATATTAAGAAAATTTGACTAAAAATATTTGACAGAAAAGTCAAACTACAATAATGATTGTGAACTACTTAATTTTGTATATCATTATTAAAGATATAACATACTATATAAAATTACCTTTAATAAGTAATTATAAAAGATGATTTTGTACTATAAATTGTATAGCCTACAAATAATTTTTTATTAATTTACTATTATCAATACTAATACAAATAATATATTAGATATAATTATGCTAATCAACAATATTTGGCGATCTTTTGCTATCACAAGTTTAATATTTGGAATATTATTAAAACCTGTACAAGCTATAGAATTAGATGAAATTACAAGAACAGTACAATTAGAAGAATCTGGAAAAACCATTATATTAACACGAGAACAAGTCAAAAGAGGAAAAAGATTATTTAATAATTCATGTGCACAATGCCATAATGGAGGTATTACTAAAACTAACCCTAATATTGGTCTAGAATTAGAATCTCTAAGCTTAGCTACACCAGCACGTGATAATATCAGTTCATTAATTAACTACATGAAAGACCCAACTAGCTATGATGGTGCAACATCTATTGCAGAATTACATCCAAGCATTAAAAGTGCAGAAATTTTTCCAAAAATGCGTAACTTAACTGATGATGATCTATTTGCAATTGCAGGACATATATTAATACAACCTAAGATAGTAGCTGAAAAATGGGGAGGGGGAAAAATTTACTACTAATAATATTTGATAAAATAGAATAGAAATTTACAGAAAATTTATACAAGCTTTATATACTATAAAAATATAAAATACTGGTATGATATAAAAAAATATATATACTAATATTATCTGATCTATACAAGGAAAATAAATTAATGAAACTTATATCTACGATATTATTGATTTTTAGCATCATATTTACAGGTGCACACTCTATACTTGCAGCCGATTTAGAAGCTGGAGAACAAGTTTTTTCAGCAAACTGTGCAGCTTGTCATGCTGGTGGAAAGAATGTAATAATGCCCGACAAAACTTTACAGAAGGATATATTAGCTGAGAATGGTATGAATAGTATTTCAGCTATAACCAAGCAGGTGAATAATGGCAAAAATTCTATGCCTGCATTTGGAGGACGTTTAGCCGATGATGAAATTGAAAATGTTGCTAATTATGTATTAAATCAATCTGAACAAGGTTGGTAGCTAAACTAATCATTACATTTTTATAAATAGCATAAACATTACAGATTATTTATAATTTATTAAATAGATAGTTTTTTTTTACAACTATCTATTTCGTTTCTCAATCTTCATATTGACAAGAAGTATCATTGTTCAAAATACACACAAATTATGACTTATCCTTCATATCAAACAGTTCTTTTTCTAGAAGATGGTACATTGTATCATGGTTGGTCTTATATAAATTCCTGCTTATCAATAGGAGAAATTGTATTTAATACCGGCATGACAGGTTACCAAGAAATTATTACTGACCCAAGTTATTCACAACAAATTATTACATTTACTTATCCGGAAATTGGCAATACTGGCGTAAATCATGAAGACAATGAATCAAATCAAATACATGTCAAAGGAATAATTGCAAAAAACATATCTTATCAAGCTAGTAATTGGAGAAAAAATCAATCTTTTATAGAATATATTTTAGAATATAAAATACCTCATATTTTTGGTATAGATACTAGAGCACTTACTAAACATCTGCGCAAGAATGGTGTAATGAATGGCTGTATTTCGAATAAAATTTTAGATATAAATCATCTAAACCATATTCTTAATCAATCTCCTTCAATGCAAGGAAGAAATTTATCGAACTTAGTAACAACAGATATCTCGTATAAAGCAAATATGATGCATGTCAGATACAAAACATATGCTTACATTAATCACAAAAAACACAACCTGCACAAAGAATCAATAAATATCGTAGTTATAGATTTTGGGGTAAAGTATAATATTTTATCAAGATTAGCAGACTATGGATGCAATATTAACGTAGTACCAGCAAATAGTACATATAGTGACATTAAAATATTAAATCCAGATGGTATCCTTTTGTCTAATGGTCCCGGTGATCCATCATCCATGATTAACTCAATAAACAATCTTAAAATATTGATAGAAGCTGTACATATACCTATCTTTGGTATTTGCATGGGGCATCAAATATTAAGTTTAGCATTAGGAGGAAAAACATTTAAATTAAAATTTGGTCATAGAGGTTTGAATCATCCGGCAGGTATTCATCAAAAAGCCGAAATTACAAGTCAAAACCACGGTTTTGCTGTTAGAATTAATTCTTCAATTTCAGACTTGTTAGCAATTACACATTTTAATTTGAACGACTGTACCGTTGCAGGCATATTACACAAAAATAAACCTATATTTTCTGTTCAGTATCATCCAGAAGCAAGTCCCGGACCGCATGATTCGGATTATTTATTTAATCATTTTTTTCACTTAATAAAGCTCATAAAATATAAGTAACATATTTTTATATATGCCAAGCAATATGATTGAATAAAGCTGATATAACCTGTACTCCTCTTAACTGATTAAATAATGGCAAATGACCGTGTGGTGCATCGATATCCCAAGTAAATTCATCTGGATAGCGACGAGCAACACCTTGATCAATCCATCCAATTTGTCGCCAAAATTTTTCCCAGTCAGCACTATTCTTAAGCCAGATCTTTCTCTGTTGCGAAAAACCAAATTTATCTCGTGAATACATGCGCCATAATAAATCTATCGTTAAAAGATCATCTGATGGTAATAGTGCAATATCTGTAAAATATAACCAATTCCTTGTAGAATTTCGATCTAAACCCGCTAATTTACATAATTGTAGCTGTGTTAATTTATCTGCTTCTTTATAATCATATGCCATTAATAAATTTTGTAATGGCTGATAATCCACATTTAGTGAAGATTTTAATTGAACAATACCATTAGAAAAATAATTAGATAAAGAATATTGAATTTTTTCTGAAGTTGATGTAGATAAAATTTCAAACAATACACTATCTAAAGAAGAAAGATCTATTTTTTGTATAATTCGGCGTTGAATTAATAACTCTAACAACTCTTCCTCCCCTGTAGCATAACTCAGACTGATTTGTTGTACTAATTGCAATTGTTGCTTTGTAGAAGCACAATTCTGTAGTTTAATAATTCTATCAACTATTTTAAAATTATTTTTGTTTGGTTTATTCATGAATAAAACGTAAGATATTTAATGTCATAATTATACTAACTTTATTATATGAGAACAATTATAAATAACTTTATATAATAAATTTTGAGACTCCATATCTATTTACCTTATCTTTATTCCTATTTACATTAATATTAATGGTAAGATAATTTTGTAAAATAAATTATCCATGTAAACGATATAAGTTTGAGACTAGGGCACGTATACAAAATATAATACTATTCGCCAAAACATTAATTAATATATATATAGTCACTTTACTTAAAATCAATAGTAGCTTTTCTGTATAAGGAATAAGTACATCTTGTATCTCAATAAAAAAAACAAATAAAGATTGAATTGGTAACAAACTTGATAAATCATCTAACCTAACAATAGAAATATATTTTGAAACCAAACCATTCGAGCTTATTAGCCAAACCTTGTAACGTGAACTATACACTGCTTTAGGTTGACTAAAATACAGATGTTTTAAGTTTTGTAGGATTAAATTATTACGAAAACATGCTATTGATCTAATAGTAACATATGAACTATTACATAGCTTGTTATTTTTAAGGAAAGACGATATTTGAGATAACGATTTCAGTCCCTCAAAAATAGTAAAAATTACTAAATCACTAATTTGAATAATAAGATTTTCTAATAAAATAGAAACATGCTGCTTCGGTGTATTAATATTATCAAAAACAAACATATTATAGTCAATATATGAAGAACCAAATACTAAATAAATTAATAAATTTTCTAATAATAATTTATGTTCCGATAAAATCACTTGTAAGTAATTAGAATCCTTATTTTCTAATGAAATATATGTAATTGAATTCATTTGAGAGATAAAATGTTTCAACGATTTTTTAATAAGATCATATAAAATTTTATAATTTAATATTTTAATATTTTTTACACTCAAATCTAATTCAGTAATATCTAAAAGCAGAATTTCTAATTCTAGTAAAACAACACAAAATAGTTTATCTCTATTCTTATTATCTAATAAATCTATATACAAAATATCATTTGCTTTATTTACTAAATTATAGGAAAATTTTTGTCTTGTACTAAAAAATAGATAAGCTACCTCATTATTTAAATCAATTCCTTGTTTATTTGGCCAGTACTTTATCATTCAATTTCTAATTTTTTATCTGTCTTAATAAGAAGGTTAGGTAGATATTATAAATTGTGCATAAAGTAATTGATATCAATTTAATTAATGTAATATTCATTGAATAAATAAATATAAAAAACTAAACCAAAATTTATTTTCCTGAATAGAATTATAAATAATCATGTATACTAAATTTTTGTACCTATACTTATCAAAATAATTGGTTGTGAAACAATATGCCTAATTACTATTTTGCAGTAGCAAGTCAAAATTTTCTACTCCGAGAAGAACCAATAGAAGAAATTTTACGTGAAAGAACAAACTACTATAAGAACATCAATAAAGATATAGATTTTTGGCTAGTAACCAACCCTCACTTCATCAATAGATCTGAGTTTAAATCAATCAAAACACAATTAATTAATCCATCTGCTGCAATAATTTCTCTTGATCAACAATTTATTCAATGGCTTAAACTCAGAATAGGTTTTGTAGCTATCGGCAATTTTACAGCCGAATCATTCGATATGGAAATAAACCATTAAATAATTAATATAGCAATAATATAGGTCTGTTATACAGACTTAATTTTCCATAAATATTTTATCTGAAGATGGCGTTACAAATAGAGTCAAAATTTCTTGACTAAAAGTTTCAGCTGCTTTTGATTTATATCGATTAGGATTTACAATTATTGATAACATTCTTTTAATTGTAACATTTTCAATTCTTGCCCAATGTAGTATACCTAGCTCAAGCTCTTTAGCAATTGCAGATACAGATACAAATGCAGCGCCTAAACCTGATTGTACTGCATTCTTAATAGCTTCTATTGAATTAAGCTCCATCTCTATTTTAAATCTACTACTATCTATATCATGTTGATTAAGAACTTTATCAATTACTTTTCTAATTGTAGACTGAGTATCTAGAGCAATAAAACGTAAACGGTATAAATCTTCTTTTTGAATATCTGATAATTTAGAAAAATTATGTGACGTTGGTAAAATTAAAGCAAGTTCATCTTCTGCATATGATGTTACTTGTAAAATCTCTTTTAGTTCACTCGGAACTTCTCCACCAATAACAGCTAGATCTACTTGTCCATTAGCTACACTCCAAGAAATTAATCTTGTAGAATGGACTTGTAATTGTACATTAACTCGTGGGTATCTTTGTCTAAACAAGCCAATTAATCTTGGCATTAAGTAAGTACCTGTTGTTTGACTTGCTCCAATAACTAAAGTACCTCCTTGCAAATTTTGTACATCATCTAATGCACGGCATGTTTCTTCACACAATGCTAAAATTCTACCTCCATACCTTAACAATAAACTTCCTGCTTCTGTTAAAGTAGCTTTTTTATTTGTCCTTTCAAACAAAGGTATATTTAATTGTTTTTCTAAATTTTGAATTTGTAGACTGATTGCTGGCTGTGAAACATATAAGCTATCGGCTGCCTTTTTAAAACTTCCTTCTTTGATAATAGCTTTTAAAATTCTTAATTGATCTAAAGTAAAAGGCAAATCTCTCATATAAATATTTTATAAATAATAAATAAGCTTTAATTTGTTAATTTATATCGAGATTTTGTGAATATAAGTCTTAATATATATGACATACTTTAATATATAAACATTGAAATTTTTCATACAATAGCTGCGTATGGTAATATACTATTAATACAATATCATAATAAGCAATGATATTAAAAAGCTTATTAATATTATAATATAATTTATCTATTTAATTATTCTTAATTATTGAAGGAGTCAAAATATATGGATATCGATATCAGGCTACTAATAGTACTAACTCCAGTATTAGCAGCAGGTTCTTGGGCTTTATACAACATTGGTAGAGTTGCTTTACAACAATTTCGTAGCATGTAACTCTTAATCAAAAACAATTATTATTATACTTAATATCTTATTAGTTATATAATAGAGAATATAAGTTATCAATTAAACTATAATATATTCTCTTAGTTACATAATTACTGTATACATTTAAATCATTTTATAAATATTATAAAGTAATTCTTAATAATTCATTATCAATAAAATAACATGGCTGTTCCTAAAAAACGCACATCCAAATCCAAATCCAATTCAAGAAAAGCTCAATGGAAACGCAAATGTTATATTAATGCTCAAAAAGCTCTTTCCCTAGGTAAATCAGTTTTAACAGGAAAATCTAATAGCTTTATATACACAAAGAGTAATATTAATTAAAATTAATATATACTATGTTTATATTAATCCTGAATATTATTTCTTTTGAAATTATAATATGAATAATATGAAGGATGCAAATTATTAACTTAAATCGTCTACACCCACATACAAGACATAATAAATCAAGCTTCGTATTTGACTTTAAATATATAAACGAAATTTGGATATTTAATTGCCATCAAGGGTGTCAACACACACTTGCACATGAAAAAATTAAAATGAACCAAATTTCTAAGATTATTATAACTGACTTAAACAACGAAAATATATCTGGCTTATTAGGTTTATTGTCAAGTCTGAGCTTAATTCGAAGAAATAAAGCTCTACATATCTACTGTCCTAAAAATCTAAAAAAATATTTAGAATTAGGAAAAAAATATTCACAGACAAATTTTCATTATAGTTTATACTTACATATTTTAAAAACAGGACTAACTATAAATAGCCAGACATATCAAGTATATACTCTTATAAACCAATCAAAATTTGAATTTATTGTAATAAGTAAAGAAAAATATGGTAAATTTAAATTAGATGAAGCTAAAAACTTCAATCTAGTAGAAGGCCCTTTATACGGAAAACTTAAAAAAGGCTTTAAATTTTTATTGCCAGATGGATATATTTTAGATGGCAATTATTTTACAAGTAATAACTATCAAGGAATAAAAGTGTCTTGTTTTTCAACTAAATACAATAAAAGAGATTCTATTGAAATTAAATATAAGTAAAAACATAGTATAGTTAATAAGACATACTAGAAATATCATAATTATTACGAGACTTTCTAAAATTAAAAAATACAACTATGAAATATGCAATTATTGATGCCGGCGGTAGACAAATATGGATTGAAGCAGGCAAATTTTATGACCTAAATTACATTAAAGGGGAACCTGGAGATATTGTACTCTTAAATAGAGTATTATTAATGAATACACAAGGAAATATAAAAATTGGAAATCCTTGTATAAAATCAATACAAATAAAAGCAAAAATTTTAAAACATATAAAGGGAAAAAAAGTTACTGTCTTCAAAATGAAGCCTAAAAAAAATTCTCGATCTAAGCAAGGACACAGGCAAAAATTAACAAGGCTTTTAATAGAAGACATACCAATTTAATTATATTTATATTAATGTAAGGAATAAATTTATGGCACATAAAAAAGGTAGTGGAAGTACTAAGAATGGACGTGATTCTAATTCTAAAAGATTAGGTATCAAAAAATATGGAGGCCATATAGTTAGAGTAGGTCAAATATTAGTACGTCAACGAGGTAGTGAATTTAAAGCTGGCAACAATGTTAAACAAGGAAAAGATTATACTTTATTTGCTATAGCAGACGGAGTGGTCAAATTTGAAAGAACTAATAAAAAAAATAAAAAAATTAGTGTATATTCAACATAAGAATAATGCTATGATCTGAAGTTAAGCATTATTCTTAACTATTTTATAATAAAAATTTTGTATATCAATTATTTTAAAAAATACATTTCTCTTATTCACTTTAAGCTATATTTTGGAAATGGTAAAAAAAATCATAATTTCTCGTTTTAATAATATAGCAGCTATTGTACAGAACAACAAAATACAAGAAATTATTATTATTAATAACTCTTATCAAGTTAATGATATATATATTGGTATTGTACAAAAAATTTTTTCTAGTATAAATGCAGCTTTTATAAAGCTAGGTAAAAGTGGTAAGAGCGGCTTTATACATATTAGTGATATCAAACGTCTTAAAAAACACAGACATGCAAATCATATCACAGATATACTATCTATTAATCAAGTCATCGTAGTTCAAGTTATCAAAGAACCAACTCTTCACAAAGGACCTAGATTAACCGCTAACATTAATCTATCTAGTAGATACTTAGTACTAATGCCTTTTTGTAACAACATATCTGTTTCACATAAAATTCATGATAAGAATGACAGAATATATCTCGAATCTTTAGCTATTTTACTAAAACCAGCAAATATGGGTATTTTAATTAGAGCATCTGCTCAAGGAATATCAGCAAATATTATTTTAGAAGACCTTGTAAACTTAAAAAAACAATGGAGCTTTATAGAGAAAATTGCCGTATCATCAAATTTTCCTTCATTAATATATAAAGAAGAGGATTTAATTACGAAAATAATGAAAGACTTTTATGAAGAAAATACAAAAAAAATTATTATTGATTCCAACAAAGGTTTTAAAAGAATTAGCTACTATTTAGACAAATGGAAATGTATTACGCCTATAACAAATATCAAACTACAATTATATAAAAGATCCGAATCCATTTTAGAGCAATTTAATATTAAATCTAGTATTTTAGAAGCTTTAAAAACGAGGGTGCAACTATCATTTGGCGGACATATAATAATTGATAATAATGAAGCTCTTACTGTTATAGATGTTAATTCTGGCTCATTTAATCAGTCTGACAATTCTAAAGAAACAATTCTAAGAACAAATTTGTACGCAGCTATTGAAATAGCATATCAATTAAGAATACGAAATATAAATGGGGTAATTATTATTGATTTTATAGATATGGAATCTCAAAAAGATCAGTTACAGCTATTAGAATATTTTAATAAGTTGCTAAAATTAGATAATGCTAAACCGCAAATAGTACAGTTATCTGAATTAGGACTCGTAGAATTAACAAGAAGAAGAAGAGGTCAAAGCTTACAAGAAATTTTCAATGGTAAAAACCATGCATATTTAAATCTTGAATCTAATTATAAGTTAGAAGATAAATATAATCGATTAAATAATAAACAACAAAATAACTTCTTAATTCATAGAAAAATCAAATTTTTATTTTTTCAAAAAAAATTTAACCAAAATATTTTATTAAAAAACAAAATATTTTTAATGAAAAATAATTACAAATACAATAATTATATGTGTATAGATAAAAGTAATAATATCAATTTTATTCATCCACAAAAAAATTATATTATACCTCGAAGACTATACTCTAATGTAATAAAAATAATTTAATACAAATAAAGATAAAAAAGAGAGACATTTTAAAGTGTCTCTCTTTTTTATCTTATATAGGAATATTAATTAAATACTAACCATTAACAGCTGGTGCAACTAGAGCTACTGGTAATGAGTTACCAGACGCTAAATCTAGAGGAAAATTATGTGCATTACGTTCATGCATTACTTCCATACCTAAATTAGCTCTGTTTAAAATATCTGCCCAAGTATTAATTACACGGCCTTGGCTATCAACAACTGATTGATTGAAGTTGAAACCATTTAAATTGAAAGCCATAGTACTAACAGACATTGCTGTAAACCAAATACCTACAACAGGCCACATACCTAAGAAGAAATGTAGCGAACGAGAGTTGTTAAAACTAGCATATTGGAAAATTAAACGTCCAAAGTAACCATGAGCTGCAACAATATTATAAGTTTCTTCTTCTTGACCAAACTTGTAACCATTGTTAGCTGATTCGTTTTCAGTTGTCTCACGAATTAAACTAGAAGTTACAAGAGAACCATGCATAGCACTAAATAAAGAACCCCCAAATACACCTGCTACACCTAATTGGTGGAAAGGATGCATTAGAATGTTATGCTCAGCTTGGAAAACAAGCATAAAATTGAATGTACCAGAGATGCCTAAAGGCATACCATCAGAGAAGCTTCCTTGACCAATTGGATAAACAAGAAATACTGCTGCTGCTGCTGCTACAGGAGCTGTAAAAGCAACTGAGATCCAAGGGCGCATACCTAAACGGTAGCTTAATTCCCATTCACGACCAATATAGCAACATACACCTAAAATAAAGTGAAGAACAATTAGTTCATATGGGCCACCATTATATAGCCACTCATCTAAAGATGCAGCTTCCCAAATAGGATAAAAGTGAATACCAATTGCTGCAGAACTAGGTATAATAGCACCAGAAATGATGTTATTACCATAAAGTAAAGAACCTGCAACTGGTTCACGGATACCATCGATGTCAACTGGAGGTGCAGCAACGAATGCAATGATGAATACAGATGTAGCTGTTAGTAGTGTTGGTATCATTAGTACACCAAACCAACCAATATATAGACGGTTTTCAGTACTAGTAATCCAAGCACAGAAACGTTCCCACAGGCTTGCGCTTTCGCGTCTTTCTAAAGTAGCAGTCATAATAATTAAAATTTGTTTAGGATAAGTGAGGATACTTCCCAAGACTCAATTGAGCTTGTTAAGTATATTATTACAACTATACATATGTTAAGTAAAGTCTTTATTGCTAAAATTAATTAGAAGCTCAGTAAGTTTGGATGTCAACTGCTTTCATGCTTGACCTTTATACAATGATCAATCAAACTATAGTATAAAATATATCATATTTATATAATTATATAAAAAATAGAATTAATCATATGTCACATCTTAGTCGTATCAAAACATGCATAAATAATGAATTTATCTTAAAACAAACGTTAATAGAATTAGGTTTTAATTACGAAAACAACAAACACAAAAAGCAAGAAAAGAGTAAAATTAACACTCAATTGTTCGACCTTATTATCACAATAAACAATAAAGATCTATGTGAATTTATATGGGACGGTTACGAGTATTCATTCGTAGCAGATTTTCAACTATGGAATTACAATATTCCATATGAACAATTCTTAGAAAAGATTAAGCAGAAGTACTCATATAATGTAATTATTCAGGAAAGTATAAAACAAGGATTTATAAATATTACTAATGAAAGATTACAAGATGGATCAATTAAATTAATTATTCAAAGATGGAATGAATAAATTTATACTAACTATAGACTTAAAAAGATGCGGACGGAGAGACTTGAACTCTCACAAGAAAATCTCACTAGAACCTAAATCTAGCGTGTCTACCAATTCCACCACGTCCGCTTCACTAATTTTAGAAGATCTGAAAAACATCTTATCATTAACTAAATCTAAAAACAAGCTCTTATTAAGTACAGTATATATTAGATTGTATAGATAAATTTAAAAATTATAATTCTTAAGTGTAAGACTTGCAACAGATGCTGTTTTTTGATATGATGATTTAAATTATATAAATTCCTCAGTAGCTCAGTGGTAGAGCGATCGGCTGTTAACCGATTGGTCGTAGGTTCAAATCCTTCCTGGGGAGGTCAAATCATATATATCTTATATAAGCACTGTATAATATGATAATTATGAATCAAGTTACATCATTTCTAGAAACACAAGCTTATTACATACAACAAAATATTTATCAGCTGTTATCTTCAGAACTCAAAAATGGTAAACCATATACTTTCATTTTGCTAATTATAGGAGGTTTAATTACTAGCTTAAACCCATGTTTTATATCAATAATACCTGTAATAGTATCATATATAAATTATAACAAAAAAGAGGATAATTATAGATTGATGGTTATTACTGGATTAGTAGCTAGTCTTATAACAATACTGACTGTTAGTATAATACTCAATGACTATTATAAAATAATTATATTGAATATACCTATTTTTACATCTTTAATAGTTATTATTATAGGTTTAAATTTATTAAGTATTGTAAATTCAAACTTTTTTGGCTATATTTTTCTATCACATAATAAATTAAAGAATAATGCTAATATTTCGAACTTTTTTTTAGGATTTATTTTTGGATTAAGCTCTTGTAGTTGCAGTACTCCTATTTTAGCCAGTCTTATAATATGGCTATACAATAGTAACAATTTTTTGCTAAGTATTATTTATATAATATTTTATATAATAGGCTATATAATACCTATTATTATCTTGATCAGCATAACTAATAATTACAATAATATAACTAAATTATCTCAATTATGGAACTATGTTATGCCATTTAGTGGCTCTATTGTACTTGGTATAGGTATCTTCTCATTTTTAGAAAATATATTCTATATTTATTAAGCTATAAGATAAGTATAGTAAATAAGATAATTTAATCACATTTGATATGAAATATATAACAAACAAAAATTTAAAATGGTATGCAACAAAAATCTTAAGTAATTTAAATTTATCAATAATTATATTGCTAATAATATCAACCATTAGTATAATTGGTACGATTATTGAGCAAGATCAAAATATGAATTACTATCAACTGCATTACCCTATTAAATCTGGGATAGCAGAACAAATTAATTGGAAAATTATCATAAACCTTGGATTAGATCATATCTATGCGACTTGGTGGTTTATTCTTCTACTGGTTTTATTTTTTTGTAGCTTAATTACTTGTACACTTTCTCGTCAATTACCAGGCTTAAAAAATGCACGTACTTGGAAATTTGTACCACATACAGATAAAACAAGATGTTTATTATATAGTGATCTTTTTAAAATCAAATCATTAGCAAATATTATATGTTCTTTAAATTTGAAATATTACTATGTATTTCATAAAAAAAATCAAATTTATGCATATAAAGGGTTAATAGGTAGAATTGCTCCTGTCTTTGTACATATAAGTATAGTATTAACTCTTACTGGTTCAATGATAGGATTTTTTAGCGGTTTTACAATACAACAAATGGTACCTAAAGGTGAAATTTTTCATATACAGAATACTATTAAGTCTGGAACTCAAAGCTCTTTACCTCTTAATATACTTGGTAAAATAGAGAACTTTTATATCGATTACAATTCAGACAATTCAATCAAACAATTTTATTCAAGTATTGTGATAATAGATTTTTATGGACAAAATATCAAAAAAGAAACAATTTTTGTAAACCATCCATTAAAATTCCATGGTATTACTGTTTATCAAACAGATTGGCAAATCAATTCTTTAAGAATAAAAATCGGTCAACATAGTATACAAAAAAAAGTGAATAAAACAAAGCTAGGTAATAATAGTATTTGGTTTACCAATATTCCTATAAGCTCAATAGATCAAATATTTTTGATCATTACAAACTTGAAAAACACAATTTTAATATATAATTCAAATGGAGAATTAATAAATACAATAAACACAAATGAAACAATTCAAATAAATAAACAACTATTCACTATTACAGAAATCATGACAAGTACTGGATTGCAAATTAAAGCCGACCCTGGACTTCAATTTGTATATATTGGTTTTTTTATACTTATGATTAGTGCTACTGTAAGCTACTTATCTTATTCTCAAATATGGATATCAGGCATATTTTGTATAAAACAAGAGTTAAAAGTAACTGGTACTACTAATAGAGCAAAATTAAGTTTTGAGGAAGATTTAAGATATATAATAAAAACTTACAATCAATTTTCAATAAAAGCATATAATTATTTAATAAATATAATACACTTGTAATTACATTAATAAAAAATTTCTTATTATTGACCTTCCATGATCAGTCCATAAACTTTCCGGATGAAACTGTATTCCTCTTAATAGAGGATAACTTTTATGACGACATCCCATGATAATTCCATCATGTGTTCTTGCAGTAACCTCTATATCACTAGGCAAAGATTTATTATCAATTACTAAACTATGGTAGCGAGCAGCTAAAAAAGGATTGGGTAAATGATGAAAGATATCTGTGTTATTATGAACAATTTCACTAATTTTTCCATGAACGGGTTGACTTAATTGAATAACTTTACCACCATAAACATAAGCAATACTTTGATGTCCCAAGCATACACCTAGTATTGGAATTTTATTAGCATAAAGCTTAATTAATTCTAAAGAAATTCCAGTACTACTAGGTTCACCTGGGCCTGGTGATATAATGACATGACTAGGATTTACTTGCAAAATATCATGAATATCAATTTCATCATTTCTACTCACATGAGTATCAAATCCTAATTCGCCAACATACTGTACTAAATTTTGCGTAAAACTATCATAATTATCAATTATTAGAATCACATTCCCTCCAAAAATATAAATTATTGTATATATGAGATACCTTCCACAGGTGAACTAGATTGAGCTGTATATGTTTTTTGCATACGTCCTGCTAAATAAGCTATTCTACCTGACAACACACTAAATTTCATTGATTCTGCCATTAAACAAGGCGAACATGCATTAGCTACTGCTGTATTGAGTAATACAGCAGAAGCACCTAATTCCATAACTTTAGCTGCTTCACTTGCAGTACCAATACCTGCATCAACAATAACGGGAATTTCAGCATTTTCAATAATGATATTTAAATTCATAGTATTTTGTAAACCTTGACCAGAACCAATAGGAGAAGCTAAAGGCATAACACTTGCACAACCTATATTTTCTAATTGTTTTGCTAAAATTGGATCTGCATTAATATATGGAAGAACAGCAAAATTTCTTTTAATTAAGTACTCTGCTGCTTTTAATGTACCTATAGGATCTGGTAATAAATACTTAGGATCTGGTATAACTTCTAATTTGACAAAATTATTATCTACTTGTCCCAGTCTTTTTGCCATTTCTCTTCCTAGAATAGCTACACGTATAGCTTCTTCAGCTGTTTTACAACCAGCTGTATTCGGTAATAACCATATTTTGTCCCAGTCTAAAGCATCAATTAAATTACTTTTGCCTAACTGCTTTGCATGTTGAGCTCTCCTTATTGCAACTGTAACAATAGAGGTATCACTAATATAAATACTATCTTTTGCCTCTTGAAGACTCTTATATTTACCTGTACCAAGCATCAATCTAGAGGTGAAGCTTTTTCCAGCTAATATTAAAGGTGTATTATGTTTATATAGTTCAATAGATAAAGACTGTGTTTTTTTATGCATCTTTTCAATTTTGCGTATTCAAAATATAATAATATTTGAAAATTCTTATCATTCTATTGTAGAATTAATATGAATCATATAACAATTTTAGCTACATATTTCTTTTCTAACTCATTATATAGTATAATTATGCCTAATCAATTCCCTTTATGGATAAAAATTATAATTAGTACTGTAATAATTAGTTTAGTAATTAAATTAATATATAAACTGTATTTATTAACAATGAAATCTATAAACAATAATTATAATAAAAAAAATATTACATTAATAGATAGGTTTGGCTCAATTCTACCTTATTGGCTACCTTTACTAGAGGGACTGCAAAATTTTGGACAACAAATTTTACCAGATTATCCATTTAGATTAATGAGCGTGTACAAAAAAACACTTATGCCTTTAGTAATATTTTACGTAACACATCCAGCATTAGCCTTTATTATATTTTTTGTTTTATATTATTTATTTGTAAGAGCAAAAAGCCCGATACCTGATAGACCATTTATACGTTTTAATGTCTTACAATCAATTCTCTTATTTTTAATCAATTCTTTACTAGGTGCAACTTTTAGAGCACTACCAATAGAATTTCGTATGAGCTTGTATGGTTTTATGCTATGCAATACACTTTTTTGGTTTGTCTTATCTACTATCATTTATTCTGTCACTAAATCCATTGAAGGTAAGTATGCAAAAATACCTGTTATATCTCAAGCAGTAAGAATACAAATAGATAATAGGTAATATAACTCAGTATCAATTAATTAAATAAAAATACAAAAATTAAATTATGACATTAAACACTTACGAAACAATATATATTTTGAAGCCAGATGTCACAGAAAATATTAATTTAGAATTAGTAAATATATATAAAAAACTAATAAAAGAACATGGAGGACAAAAAATTTTAGTACAACATAGAGGGAGAAGACATTTAAGCTATAATATTACACATTATTATGATGGTATATATATACAAATGAATTATGAAGGTAACGGACATTTAGTAAAACTTATTGAGAAATCTATGAAATTTAATAATCATATAATTAGATTTTTAACTGTACGCCAAAACCCGCTAATAGACGTAAATATATAGCAATATTTATGATATGAAATATATAATATAGAGTCTTGATACTGAGCTACTTTCCCAAAAGGCTCCCCTTTAAGTATCATCGCCGCTGTAGTGTTTAACAACCAAGTTCGATATGGATTGGTGTGGTTCAACTACGCTATGAGTATCAAGACATAAATTATTTTATTATTTGATTATACAATTTTAAGTAAAGTCTTCGATCTATTAGTACATCTCAGCTACATGCATTACTACACTTACACTTGATGCCTATCAAACGGTTAATCTTACCGTGATCTTATCCGTTAGACGGTGAGAGTACTCATCTTGAGGTTGGCTTCCTACTTAGATGCTTTCAGCAGTTATCACATCCACACTTAGCTACCCAGCGTTTACTGTTGGCACAATAACTGGTACACCAGAGGTGTGTCTCTCCCGGTCCTCTCGTACTAAGGAGAGCTCCTCTCAATACTCTAACGCCTGCACCGGATATGGACCGAACTGTCTCACGACGTTCTGAACCCAGCTCGCGTACCGCTTTCATGGGCGAACAGCCCAACCCTTGGGACGTACTACCGCCCCAGGATGCGATGAGCCGACATCGAGGTGCCAAACCTCCCCGTCGATGTGAACTCTTGGGGGAGATCAGCCTGTTATCCCTAGAGTAACTTTTATCCGTTGAGCGACAGTCTTTCCACTCAGTACTGTCGGATCACTAAGGCCGACTTTCGTCTCTGCTCGACTTGTAGGTCTTGCAGTCAAGCTTCCTTATGCCTTTATACTCGAAGACTGATTTCCGACCAGTCTGAGGAAACCTTTGCACGCCTCCGTTACTTTTTAGGAGGCGACCGCCCCAGTCAAACTGCCCACCTGGAAATGTTCTTTGGCCGGTTAACGACTATCAAAGTTAGAATTTTAGTTTACTTAGAGTGGTATCTCATTGATGGCTCGAGTATATCCAAAAATATACTTTCTTAGCCTCCCACATATACTGCGCAAAATAAACCCAAAGTCAATCCCAAGCTACAGTAAAGCTTCATAGGGTCTTTCTGTCCAGGTGCAGGTAGTCCGCATCTTCACAGACAATTCTATTTCGCCGAGTCTCTCTCTGAGACAGTACCCA